GAGTTGCTTCATTCTCTACTTCATTTTGCTCTGAGAGCTCTGTCCTAAAGGCAGAGTCCTCTGAGCCTGTATTTAGGAAAGGATATTGAGGGGGGGGAAAGGCCAGATATATGAGATAGTAGCCCATGGTTATGTTTCATGCTCTGAAAATCTGTCAGAAATGTGAGATCAAGGATCCCAAAGGGGGAAGGAGAGAGGTCCTCCCTTTGGGCTCTGACCTAGATTTCCAATCTTAGAGTTCCCACATCCAATCTGTTTGCTATCCCAGGAGTGGATTCAGAACTACTCTTCAGGCACAGGAGACCTAAACTTTAACACCACCGGACCCCTTGTCCTTCACACTCAGTCCCAGCCCTAGCCCTTCATTCTCCACACCAGATATTAAATCAGCTCAGAATATTCAGCAAACACACACACACACACACACACACACACACACACACACACACACGGACTTATTCAAAGTCACATGGCAAGTTAGTAGCGCGCTGAAAATGCTGAACTCTGACTTCCCATTTCAGTATGTTCTATCAGCACTAAACCAAGCAACCACAAAGAAATCACTGAATCACTTGCAAATATTTGCTTGGCCCACTGGTTTGGGAGCTAATCCGTGTTCAATTTCAGTGGTTATTTCTACAGTGGAAAATGACACAGTCCACCACCTTTGATTTTCTTATGAAGTAGGTTCTATCATATTTTTAGCAAAGCACTTGCCTTCTATTCTTGCCAGAGGTGCAACCACTTTGCAAAGTATTACGCAGAGGCACATACTTGTCCTTGTTCTCTTAAAGCAGATACAGGGGCACTGTATAAACAAAATCTAAAACTAATGGCTCTAATCTTTTATCCCCCCAAACTGTGTTCCAAATGGCCAGAGATATTCAGCTAAAACACAATCAGATCAAGCTACTCCTCTTGTTAAAATCCTAAAACCCTTAAAAGCATAGTTATGGTCTGCCCCCATCTTAACTCTCCCGCCCTACTTTATGTTATTCCCCACAATGATCGCAAGCTCTAATCAAAGACCCCTGGATGTGCCATGCTTTTCACAACTCTACACATGCTAGTCTTTTTGTCTGATGCCTTTCTCCTATCCTTTGCCTGCCTAAAGAATAGCTAATTATTTTTCAAGGGTTCTTTGAACCCTTCCCAAACCCCCAGATTCAGGGAATTCATATACACCTTTAAAATTTGTCAGTGTGATTAATTGTTGAGATACCTCAAGTGCTCATTGGCAGGTACCCTATCTTAGGCATCTTAGCATCCTTAGAAACTAGTGTTGCACCTGGCACACCCCTCTACTTATACACATTCAACTTAATCAACTTACATAGATATTAACTTAGTTATTGCTCAAGACAAAAGTGTACATTCCGTACCTTCTCCAGAAGACGGTGTCATCAGTCATCTCACTGGGCAGACTCACCCACTGGTTTGTTCCTACTCTAAGAGTGAATATGCTCAGAATTTTCCAAACACTATATCCCTACATGTCCACAACATGTCAAAAGCCTTTTAAGAGAAAAAATGTTTGTTTGCAATAAAAACAATAATAGATGTTTTACAATTTGAGAGCAGAGATAAAGAAGGTTGAATATACTTATGGGAAAAATCTTGAATGGTAGATATAATTCTAATGGAAAGAACAAATCATCCATCGTGTAAAAAGAGCCTTGCATATGTGAAGGACAATCATAAGCTATAGAAGTGAAAAGGCAATTGTCTAAATAGAGAAACATTTGCGAGTATGACTAAATGATCGATGCCCTTTAGGCCTAAGATTAATTAAGAGGAAGTCTAAAAGTTTACCAGAACTTAAAGTCTGATGGTAAAAAATGCTGCTGACAAAATTTCTATTGCAGACCTCAGATTGTTCAGTAGGTTCAAATCCTTTCGAGTCTGCACAGATCAAAGGAAGCAGAGATTATAAACAGCTGCTGAGATATTCCTTGCAGACACTAGCTGAGCTCATTTACCTGTCTATAGACAGATTTTCAAAGTAGTAGGTATGGTCTAGATTTTGGGGGGAGTGGGGAAAGATGGTGGATAGAATGAGTTTTTGGCAAAGGGATAAAAGGACACAGCAAAATATCTGATTGAAGAGATAGAGAGACCTGGCTCAAATTCTTATTTGGATGGAAATACATCTAAGCAAGCTGAATATCTTTCAGAACTTAATTTGTTCATGTGCATATGAACTTCTGTATTGGAAACATGTTCACAAAATAAGAAATAAAGAAAGGAACAAAAGGGAGGAATAGAAGGATTCTCTGGCCTGTCAGAAAAACCCAGAAAGTGAATCACATTGTGCTCTAGTATGCAGGTGGAGGAGGAGTCTTTCAGGAAAGGCAAGAAATGATTTGTAGACACTCTTCCATGGTAACTCTTAGGAGTGAACATCAGGGAGCATGGGAATCCTTATTAAAACTCAATCTCTACTTCCTAGATTCATTCCCTTCAATTGCTTTTTTTAGTTCTATTTTTGAAATCTCACTTATTCTTTCAAACCTAAAGAGATAAAAAGAAAAACAGCAACCTAATGGATATTTAAGATCATTAGGCCCAACCTCCCATGGTATCCTGAGAGCAATTACAACATCGGTAATAAGGGCTTTCTCTCCTTGACCAATCTAGTCTTTAAACTGGTCACCTGAGGAAATTCTACAACTTATCGTACTATTTCACTTTTCAATAATACAGATTCCCCCAATTTTTCTGATGTTTAACATAAACTACCCGTAACACATTCTCATACCATTCTTCTACTTCTTTTTTTTTTTTTTTTTTTTTTTTTGCTGATGAGTAAGCGGCCAGACTTCCCATGCTCCAGTGAATACAATTTAATGGAATCACATAATTATGTATCCACTAAGCTCTCACAGGCAAAGTGATGTCTGCCAAATCTTTGATATGTCTCCAAACACTTGCACCCCAACCTAGAGACTCCTTAACTGGCTGGCAATTCACAACTCTATAAAACAAGGTATATTTTTATACATTAGTTTCTTGCTACTCATTTTTTCTATAAGACTATTGTTAAGCTCTCTCCTCATAGCTTATGTTTTTGAGGACACTTGTGGTTCTTCATGCTTTCCTCATATATCCTCAGCTCTATGCTTCAGACTCTTCTTCCTGATCTTAGTACTAACACAATCAGTAAAACCTGAGAGGGAACTATATGTTGCACTCTACATTTGTTTGGTTTGACAAATAGCATAAAATTTGCAATCTGCTATTAGTAAACATCACCTCTTTAGATCTGCTATCACTCCACTGTTTAAATCCAGTATTTCTTACTAAAAGAGTTAAACTTATCTCCATAAGAATCTGACATGTCTAACTGACTTCAGATAATTTGATTTGTACATTGATTTCCAAAGAGTTGAATGATTGCATTTCCACACGTATAATTATGATTATTATTTTATCAATAGCCATCATTATCCCCTTTGAATCATATTTCATTAGTTTATTTGAAACAATTGTGTAAGAGTATTTCATTTCTTTCAGTTTCTCCTTTCCTATTTCTCCTTTTTGACTATTCAAACCACTGTTTTCAAAATTGTTTTCTACTTCCACTGTGTTAATTACTACGGTTTCTGAAAATTTCACTTATGCTAGTTATTTGCATCATATTTAAATGTCTCACAATTATTTTGGTTATCTAGAACTTATTACAAACCTTGTGCCACAGTCATTAAAATTAAGCTGACACTTAAGAAACGTTTTTCAGCTTGTTTCACTTTTAACATCAGCTCCAAGTTTCAGTTCAACAAAATATACTCTACTCATGCATTTAACTGTTCTACTGCTTTGTAATGAAACTGAAAAATTAAAAAATAATATTAATAATAATCAAAACAAAAAAATAGGCAACATGGAAATTATATATATTCCATTTGTTTTGATAGCAAAAAAAGACCTTTTATTCCCAAAATGGAGATCACGAAGTTGGTCTATTCAAGGCAGTTTCCACCAAAAAGATGGAAGATTTAGTATTCATTCAAAATTGACTTGAAGATGTGAAGCTATGCTTAGATTCATCTAAAATAGAAGTGAAGCAGAATGGTCTGAATTATTTTGATAAGAAACTCCCATTCTGTTTCACTCTGCTTTGTTGACACAGTCTCTGAATAGGGAAGAATTGTGAAGGTTATTTTAGTGTCAATGTTAAATGAAGTTTCCAGTAAATGAATTACTAATTAAGCTGCCTGAAATGAATTAAAGATTACTTCAGGTTTATTTTTTTCTCAAAATGTCTATTCCCAATGAAACATTTTAAGGCAATATTGAAAGTATGGGATTATAATTCACAGAAACAAATATGTAAGAAATAGATGTGTATGTGTGTGTGTATGTATACAGACATATACATAATCTTCAAGCCCCTGCCACAGCTCTACTAATTACAACAACTGAAAACTATTACTATAAAGAGTTATTGCTTTGGATAGTTGACATCTCCTACACAAACTTTTCAGATCCAAACCTTCATTTAAAAAACCAGAATAATTTTTAACCCTGGAAAAATAACATACACTAAAGTACTATGTGGTGTTAATTCAGCTATGAACAGAACTCATGTTTTCTTACCGTTAAAAGCCAATAAAATATGTATTGCTAAAATGTAAACAGAAATTAACATTTACTCATAGAATAACATATAAGATACAATAAAATGTTAAATCGGTACAATTTAGTAAATATCCAAGAATATTAAACCGGAAGAAGAAATTGCTTTGGTTATCATGAACTAAAACAGTGATTTCTACATCTTGATTAAAAGTAAAACATTAATAAAGTTTCAGATATATTTTACCTAAATTATAGCAAATCACAGCTCAACTACTCTAATATCATGATACCTAATGATAATGCAAGATGAAACCATAATTACAAGCAAGCCACACATATCAAAGTAAAATAAGTATTGATTAGACTTATTTTCATAGTTTGTTTAAAGTACAGAAAATTAACCTGCCAGTTTAGTTACCTACCAGCAATGATTGGATTCTATCAGTGTTATCACCTCTACAAACAGCACCAAATTATAATCCCTCTAACCATAACATAAGCACCATGCCAAAAAAGACAACCAGAGTAAATGATCTGATCATGAATAATGAATAGTTAGGGCTGGTTGGAATCCACTTAGTTGAGGAAAGAGAAAAGAGAAGTGGCTCATTAGGGCATTTCCTGAAACTTGGTTGGAATTTCAGTTAAGGAAGAAGAAATGACACAGCAGTTTCAAGTAGGGGGGACTTCCCTTCTTTATCTGAAATATGCTACCAATTTGAGAAACAGCACTCCAACAAAACTATTCCACAGTAATGTGGCCACAGTAAAAGCTCTCGTTGATTCCATTATTGTCCCATAATTAACATTTCTCCCCAGAATATACACAAGCAGTACATGGTTGTTATCAAAATGGACTAAGATCCCACATCTATTGCAACATGTTAAATCTCACATTTAACAGTTGTTCAGCAAACTGCCCTGCACCAATTTTCAGGTTTAAGAATTGCAGTGTTGTTTAGAGTATTAATAGATTTTGAGGTTTTGCTTAAGGCCATCAAATTTCCCATATTTCATATAGTCACATTTACCTCACATATGATTTTGCACTCAAAGTGACTCCAGGATAATTTTCATCTTGTCCAAGAATATTTTATCTTCCTATGTAGATGGAAGATCTATAATTCAGCTTATAAGATTTCTAGTAGTTTTTTTTTCATATTCTAGTGTGATCCGTATTTTTAAGGGACATGAGCACTGGTTACTTACTGCCTTTACAAATGAAACTTTTTAAAAGGTTTCATTTTATGTATTAGTTATCTGAGTGAACTTAAAAATCTAAAGATTCAACTTTGTTTCCACAATATAATTTGTACTGAGAAAATCTACATTTATTCTATAACACTAACACCATTTGCTTACTTTATCTAAATCTATATTTTAAAACAATATGTGAAGCAAAGCATTCCCACTAATCACTGAAGCTTAATGAAAAGGTTACATTCAAATTTCCCTTGTCTTTCTGCTTTGAAAATTCATGCAATTAAATTGACATTTATGTTTTTCAAGGAGTAGAAGTTATGTGAGAATATCTCAGCACTTTGTATCTTGCTTGAAGAACCATAAAATTACTAAGAAAAAGTTCTCTCATTGTCAGTAGCAAAGTTTTGAGTCACCTTACATTTTCCAATGATGTTATCATACATTTAAATCTCTGAGGTGATAGGAAGGAGTAAATATTTAATTTAGAGTAAAACTCACTTAGATTAATATTAGAAATTAAAAAAATAAGATTGATAAGAAACATTGTTAAGAAAGAGAAACACTTAGGACTTTAACTCATATTAGAAACTAGTTTAGATTGAATTACAGTTTAAAATACATTTTTGTGATTCAGAAGGTAAGATTTGAAGCTGTATTACTATATGGGCATACATTTTGGTTTTGAAAAGTTGTAAACGCACAAATGGCTATATACACCTGAAGAAATAGGCACCTATGTGTTAACAGTGTTTATCTGTTTAAGTGGTCCAACAGAATAGTTACATTAAAAAAAATTTTTTTACCTATAGTTTCTATACTTTATATAATAAACATGTATGTTTTTGGACTAAAATATAGTGTTGATGTAAAATATAGGTTATACATCAAAACACTTAGGGATAGTATACTATTTGTGTGATATTGTATTATAAGAAGTACATGGGGGCGCCTGGGTGGCTCAGTGGTTAAGCCTCCAAGTCTTGATTTCGGCTCAGGTCATAATCTCGGTTATGCAATAGAGCCCTGAGCCCCTCCTAGGGCTCTGTTGCTGTGCTCAGCATAGAGCCTGCTTGTCCCTCTCCCTCTGCTCCTCCCCCTGCTCTCATTCTCTCTCTCTCTCATGAATAAATAAGATTCTTAAAAAAAAAAAATACACGTTTGGTCTTCATCCCTGGTTCCTAATAACAGTGAGAGGAGCATCTTTTTAAATTCATAGTAAGTCCCTTTCAAACATATAGGACTTTATGGTAATGAGGTAACTTACTGGGCCCCTAAATAGCTTCAGGATGGGGGCTGGTTGCCAGAGGAACCAACCATGTGATTAGGGAGTTATCTTTCTGAGTCACAGATTTGATCATTTTATTCTCTTTACTTATACCCATCAGAAACTTCCTCCTGCCTAAACTTTGAATCCAAATTCTCTAAAATAGCCTATAAAAGTCTTCACAACCAAATCTGAGTCCGGACTTTGAGCTTTATTAGAAACACCGACCTTCCCTTCTGCTTAGAATGTCTTGCTTCAAGAATCTCCTTTTTTTAAAGTATAGATCATATCTGAACTTCTGTCTATAGTATCCTGTTAAAAGGAAGGAAGGAAGGAAGGAAGGAAGGAAGGAAGGAAGGAAGGAAGGAAGGAAGGAAGGAAGGAAGGAAGGAAGGAAGAAAGGAAAGAAAAAGAAAGAAAGAAAGAGAGAAAGAGAGAAAGAAAGAAAGAGAAAGAAAGAAAGAAAGAAAGAAAGAAAGAAAGAAAGAAAGAAAGAAAGAAAGAAAGAAAGAAAAA